ATTAGTATATATATTACAATTGAATAATATTTTTGAAATCTCTATGAAAATACGCTTCTTTAGAGACCCAGGTTGACATATTTTTGAATAACTTTTTTTTCGACAATATTAGGGACTTTAACCCAAATACTAAAGATTTGAACCAAAATATCTTTACAACTTGACATGATTGTGAAAAATGAGTTGCATATTTAAAATCAAAATGAGAAATACTATTTAAAAAAATAACTAATTGTTTGCTTGGCACTGGAAAATAATTTTTTTTTATTGACCTGTGTTATCAAAACGGACTACTCAAGTAACACATGTACAATAATTTAGTTGCCCGCAGCGCAACTAAATTATTTTACATGTGTTACTTGAGTAACACATGTACAATATTTAAAAGTTACTTTCTTGCATAATATAGGTAGAGACCACAAATAATCATAGTCGATGGTCTTGATTCTCATAACTTTGTAGAGTTAATGTGTATTGCAATTGAAAATAACATTCATATTGTGGAAATGCCAGCACATTGTTTCTATTGGCTCAAGCCTCTAAATCGCACAGTATTTGGTCCTCTGAAAAGATTATAATCAAACATGTCATGAATTAATGAATGAATATCCTGGAGTTACTGTTGCCAAGTAAAATTTTTGTGGGCTTTTTAAGAAAGCCTAAAATCAAGCCATTACAGCTGACAATATTATTTCAGGGTTTCGATGTGGCATTTATCCATATAATCTGTCTGCTGTTCCAAGCACAGCTTACTTGCCTTATTCTGTCTATTCCATACAACAGCTCTTTGACAAATAAGATCTGCTTGAATCAAGTCTGCACTCAATCAAAACTAACACTAAAATAACAAAATTCGAAAACGCAAGAAGAGGAAGTCAATTTTGAAGTAGAATTAGGCTAATAAACTTAAAAGCATGTCTGAATGTAAAATAGATAATAATTTAGTAAACCTTGACAATTATACTGCTTCTTTAATATGGGATACACATTTAACTTATGAGCAGTTTACAGCTTTCAACTTCTGTATTCAAAATGACTACAACATCCCAGATCCTTTGTATAAATTATATAAAGAATTCAAACTGAAACAGATTTCATGTACAAATGCTATTTTAGAAATAAATGACTCTGTTCCAATGCCAAATAAGTACATAGTTCCTATTCCAATTTAAATAAAACCATTGTTCAGCCTATTCCAGTTCCAAATGAAACAACTAGTTTTTTTTCCAATGAAACCACATAATCAAAAAATCTGTACTGAAGTACCAGAGAATACAATTCTGTTGATAATATTAGTGAGCTCATATAAATAGGTTATTAATAGTTCATTATCAAAACTTCAATATATTATTGTAAAGTTTATTGTCCATATATTGAAAATTGCATTATTATATGCAAGTTGAAATCTTATAACAGCTATGTCCTAAAGCTATTTTTTATTCAAAATTTGTTCTATTTTGATTTTATATAGAAGTAATTCAAAAGTTTTTTTTTGTTAGACTGTCTTAATTTGAATAACACATAAATACTGTTTCAGTTTTTTTGTTTATTACCAACCAATATAATATTTTTAAGCAAAGTACAGAATATTTTACTTTTAAAAAAATAATCTTGGTTTATAGTTCTATGAAGTTGATCTAAGTTCATTATCAGGCTTTAATCGTCTGTCTGGATAATATTTTTCAATATATAAGCATTTTTAGATATGTTGATTTTAGGTAATATAAGTGGCTCATAATAGGTACCATTTCCTAATTTACTGGCTACTATTTGGTCTAACCAGCCATTAATTGGTACATTTAAAATATCTGTTTAAACAGATTTTTCTCTGAATTAAACATAGTTTAAAACTAAAAAAGGTTCTTCATAAGGTGTAGGCGCTGGTCATAAAATAAAATAAAATAAAAAATATTCACTGTAACATTAAAACATCCTTCACGGCTATCTTTAAAAAATTTGTGGCCATTAATTGGTCACTTTGCCCTAATTTTGATTCCAATTGACTGAAAGTTTATGTAATTACTTTTGAATTATTTGTAACAATATGGTAAAAGTTTAACTTTAAAAAAAAAAAACTGAATCACTCTAACTAATTTTTTGAAAACCACAAAAATACAACTTTATTGATTTGAACTTTTTTATATATATATAATTTAGAATGTTTTACTTTTTCTTTTTTATCATTTTAGTGCATGTGTTTTCACAAACGCACACACAAAATTATATATATATTATTTTTTTATTTATTAATGTATTTAATTCAAACAACATGTACATATAAATAGGCACAAGATCCATAGATAAAAATAAATAAAATAATAGTCAATAAAAAGAACAGATACAGTCATCTAAAATTATCCATAATTTGGACAGTTCTAATATTCTGTTAATTAAACCAAAAGTGAGGTTTCTTTTGGCACACTCAACAAGCTGTTTCTTTAAATTGATCCTATAGTTAAATAAAATAGTCTTAAAAGTTGGGAGCCTTAACTCTAAAAAAATCTGAGTCAGAATGCAATATTTTCTATATCAAAAAAACATTTTTGAACATTTGTTATAGCAATATCGTAGGTGTGTTAATGTTCTTGTGCTAAAACTGTTCCATAGGGAAGCATTATATATACATAAACAATGTGATTGGAATAGTCTTACTTTGACTAGGCTTGAACACCTGTAAAAGCGCCTTATTAGCATAATTGTTCGAGT